AGGAATCACTTTAAAGAATAAGATTGGCTGAAAGGTGACATTTGACTTTTGGGCTATGACAATATTTTTGTTGTTGTTTTGTTTTGTTTTAAAATAAACCCTAAAGTGGAACCACTTGATTCCTATTGCTATGGAAGCTGATATGCTCAGTATAAGATTCATCTAGTGTTCAAGATATCAAAATCACCCTTATTTAAAAATTAATTTCAGGGGTATTACTCTCTAATATAAGCTAATTACTTTTTTTTTCTTTTTAGTAAAGACCACTATTAATAAGTAAGGTTTGGAGCTGCAGGTCTATGCCAGTGGTAGAATATTTGCCTAGCATGTGAGAGACGCTGGGTTCAATCCTCAGCAACACACACACACACACACACACACACACACACACATACACAAACACACACAAACAATGATGATGATGATGATGATGATGATAAGTAGAGTTTGCAGATAGTCTTTCCATATGCCTCTATAACATAAATACAATAAAATCCAGACTTTTATAGGGTCCTCCCATGATTGTTCAGCAGACTTTCTAGAACTAACTTTTATTGTTAATTATATTTAGATCAAACATGAGTATGTCCCTTGCTGTAGTTTGGATGTGATTTGTCCCCATCAAAATTAATTGCCATTTTGGCAGTGTTGGGGTGGGGGATGACTTTATGAGATGGTTAAGTGGTTAAAAGGGAGCAATGCCTTTCTCGTGGGAGTGAGTTCTGATTCTTGAGGGTCTGGATTTGTTTCTGAGAGAGGAGGTTGTTATAAAGCATACCATCTCTTCTATCTTGCCACTTGTCCTTCTGTTCTCTGCTTCGAGTGGAAACAACACAAGGCCCTCACCTCACCAGAAACTCATCAGAGGACAGCATGTTCTCTGACTTCCTAACCTCCAGAACTATAGTCAAAATAAGCCTCAATTCTTCATAAATTTCCTTGTTAAAGGTATTTTGTTATAGCAACATGAAATAGGCTAAGACAACCTGTAAAATATCTAAATCCCTAGAGTACCTTCAGGAACAGAACCTTTCGTTTAGGGTTACAATTACATCAATTTTGGATTATTGCTGAGAGTAGATAATGTTTTCTGGTAATTAACTTAGTAACTGAGATAAGCAACTTATAAAAATAAAAGGTTGGTTTTGACTCACAGTTTTGGAGGTTTCAGTCATGAACAGTTGGTCCTGTTGGTTTGGGCTTGTGGCCAGGCACTACATGTGGCAAGAGTGTACTTTTCATCTCATGCCCAAGGAAGCCAAAAAAAAAAGTGCTGAGGGAAGTTCTGGGTCCCACAATCCCCGTCATAGGTATTCCGTTAGTGACCTAAGACTTTCTACTCAGCTCCACTTTTCAAAAGTTCTACCACCTCCCAACAGAACCACCCTGGGAACCAAACTTTTAACACATGGGGTTTTGGGGGACCTTTAGATTCAAACCACCATTCAAACCATCAATCCACAAAATGGACACTTGACATTAGATGACTGAACTTTCTTCTTGTTTTTAAATAAATATTAAGCATATTTCAATATTCTTTTCTTTTTTTAATATTTATTTTTCAGGTGTAGATGGACACAACACAATGCCTTTTATTTTTATGTGGTGCTGAGGATCGAACCCAGGTCTCGCCTGTGGCAGGCGAGCGCTGTACAGCTGAGCCACAATCGCAGCCCATATTTCAATATTCTTGAATCAGGAATATATTTTCTTAATTAAACCAATAAAATAAACAAAGCAATTTGAAAACAAATGTAAAGGACTCTTCTTCCCCTCCCTGTTTCCATTCACCAAATTTCTTTCCTCCTGAATAACTTTTTATTCTACCACCTTTTCATTTCTTCTATATGCAAACATGATAAAGCAAAGGCAGGTATATATTTTCATGTTTTCTCATTTTGTTAACATTAGTGAGAGAAACACATCACAATACATCATTATCCATATTTTTTCCCCCAAGGCTGGGACTATCCATCTTTATTTCAGAAAAATTTCCTGATCAGAGCACAGAGCTTCTGTATTCTTCCCTGCAGCTGGCAGCACACTGTATGGCCACAATGTAACTTCCTGAGTCAGGGTCTCAGTGCTCCTCATGGCTGGTTCCCACGTGGCTGCGTGAATATGTCATTTATTTCAAGTAAGGGACTTTGTACAATGAATTCCTCAGAGAACAGTTGCTGGATCAAAATTAAATGCATTAGTCATCTCCATAGAAATTTTGGTAGAACTTGCCAAATTGGTCTCTGTAGGTTTTATCTTTTTTTTTTTTTCATTATTATTCTAAATGTGGGAAAATGGCTCCTCACCTGCATTCTTCCTTGCCATTGTAACTTTCCCCACTGTGAGATTTTTTCCACTTAGTAGTTAGCTGAAGTTTAATTTTTGCTTCATTAATGGAGGATCATTTTTTCATTTGCTCAAGATCCACTGATACTTATTTTTATATGAAGTGCATACATCTCTCTTAGTTTGCTTGACTATGTCTTTCTAATATCAAAGAGGCTTTCTTTAAGCAGTTTTATTTAAGTTTAGTTGATGCATAATAAACTGTGCATTTTAAAACACATTATGATGAATTTTAAAATATACATACAGGCCATCAATATATGGATATTCAGCTATCTGTAAATTTATGAAATCATCACCATCACTTCAAAAGTTGCATGTCTTGGATTCCTACCAAATCTGCATGAAAAATGATCTCTAAGATGTAAGAGGGTTGTCCTTGAACACACAGGAGAATACTACTTGGAGTCTGCCTCCCACAGGTTCTCCTTCCCTACAGATGGGGAATAGGTTGGCTAAGCCTCAATACTTTCTCATTATCATGTTAGAGATCAGAAACTAGTTTTTCTTTTAACTGTAATCTTCACACATTTTTCTACCTGTCTGAAATTGCAATACATTTTTGGATAAAATGGAGAAATTATAGTTCTTTAAATTGCTAATTTTAAATTAAATTATAGTTCTTTGATTTGAGTTTCTATTTTGCCTTTATCATAAGAATGTGAAACTTCTAATTTTCTCTTTGATGAGTTTAAGAAGCTGCTGATGGAAAAAGCATATATATACATGTGTATACATTCA